ACTTCGAGGTCAAAGCCTCGAAGGGGAGCCCGAAGGAAAGAGGAGGGAGGTGGGGGGAACCACGTTGCCCGGGACAGGGTCGGGCAGCGAGCGTAACCCGGAGGATGCTACCGGCGGTCGCCCCTGTGCGCCATAGGCCTCGGCCAGGAGGTACCCAACCGATGGACCGGCCATGGCGCGGCTGTAGCCCTGGACAGGGGTCAGGAGGAAGGACTGACTTATTCTGCAGCAGGACATGCCCCCGTCCAACGCGTCGCACGAATGAAATGCTTTTCTTGCTCCTTGGAGACTAGGGATCCCAAGGATGCGGTGGGAGACGTCAGACGCCCGCGTTCCGGGAGCACCGTGCACCCGTCGTGATGACAGCCCCCGGTGGGTTCTCGTCCCCCCTCCGAGGAGTTTTGCGTTTCAGGGAGCGTGCGCCCTCCCTGCAGGCGACAGCGGGGTCGCGCCGGGCGGCCTTCTGCAGAACCGCGGACAGAAAGTGTGTCGACGCGTCGGTGCGGGGGGCTTGAGCGGCCGCGCGCCGGTCGGAGGGGAGGGCGAGTGGGCGCCCTAGGACTCGCACCCAGAAAAAGTGTGTGTGGCACGTTTGGGGCGACCCGACCGGCACCGACCCCGGTGCGTCCCCAGAGAGAGGGGCAAGTGAGCCCTGCGATGCGCTGTGGCAACTCTCGTCGGATGGGCGCTCGGGATTCTGGGCCGGAACAGCTGGCGGAGGCCAGTGCACGGCGGACGGTGAACGTAGCCCTTATCCGTTTCGTTTCCCGGGGAAGGAGTCCGCTCCGCAGCCGGTTCGCTGCGCAAACCACAGCATCCTCTGCTGGTCCGGGCCTGGGAGCGGGCTGGGCCGGGGAGGGGGAGGGGGCCTGGAAACTTCGCTTCCGGGAGGAGTCAAAGGGCAGAAAGCAGGTGGGGACGGTGGGAGACGAGCTGTGGAAATAAAAGGGCGAAGGACCCCCCCTTGAGGAGGCTGGTGGCCAAAGACTCCCGCTCGGGGAGCCCGGGTGCCCCGGGAGGTGCGGGCCTG